ATATATGACAATACTATTATAATTTATTTTTTTATTATTTTTATAAAATTTATAATTTTAATAATAAAAATATAAAAAATCTATTTAATTTTTTAAATATGTTCTTATTAATTATTTTATTTTAAATAATATTTATTAACTATTATATAAATAAATAATTATACTAATCAAATCTATTATTTATAATCTATTATTTATTTTCTGATATATATTATGAGTGATACTATAGGGACAATATTTTTATATCATATTTTTTTACAACTCTCACATATCATTAAATAAATATATGTATTTAATATTATAAATTTCATATAAATTAAAAAAATTAATCATTGTAATAACACATTAAATTATAAAAAAAATAAAAAATAAAAAAATTATACAAACCTCATTTCCATATCTGTCACTCACCGCTCATTATTTATATCCCTACCACCACCATTAATTATCAATTATTTATTATTTATTATCTACCATCTACTGTTTTTTAGTTCGTTATACCAAACATGCTTTTAAGCTTAGCAGAAAATCCACTCTTAAAATACCAGAAGAAAAGTCGTCCGAGTCGTCTCCTTTCCTGTTCCAACCAACTCACGGGTTTTCAATTCTGCCTGACTTCCCCGGGGAAGGTTTGGCTCTCTGTTCTCTGTGTTCCTTTCCTCCGCAGATATGAGTGACTCTAAGTACGCTGATCGCTCCCCTACTCATGGTAATTCATTCTCCTTTTCCTTTTGATTCTTAATGTTGCCTCTCTGATGCTCTTTCTTCAGATCATGCATTACAATAGATTCACCCTTGTTTTTTTAGTTTAATTATTGTTGTTTAAAGAAAAATCGTTTTTTCTTAGGGAATGCGCTGTAGATTTTTCAAATTAGGAAGCTTTTTTAGTTTTATAATTGTTCAGCTATCATGATCTGCATATGGGGTTCTCTGTTGTTTAGAATTTCTGGGTTTTTATGGCCTTACTTTCTTCTGCTCTAAAGTTTCCATTTTGGGTACTGATTAATTCTGTAAATTTTGGTTTTTTAAATTTTTGGTGACAGGGTATTATCAAGGACCCCCAGTAATGGCACCTCCACAGTACGCAGCACCACCACCCCGGCGAGAGCCGGGTTTCCTTGAAGGATGGTAATTTCTCTCCTACCATGTTTCTGAGATTCTGCACATCATATCTCCTTTTTCTTTATTTTCTATAGTCATTGTAATCTTTTGGTGTTTTGGGTTGAACTTGCTGTTACAGTCTCGCGGCTTTGTGTTGCTGTTTCCTCATTGACGAGTGTTGCTGTGACCCTTCAATCGTCTTTGCCTGCTAGCTATTAGTTA